TTTTTTTTTTTGGAAAAACTGGACATGTCGCAACCGTACCACTAGAACAAGCAGAACAGTCAATTCTGAGTAGTATACCACCATTTGTTTGCCAGTTGCCTTCCAAAAATTTAGGAATACCAACTGCCGAAGACGGATCACTCTTCACCACGACAAGGCGAGCTCCCACACAACGTCTCAAACAACTGCATTTTTGAGCACTCAAAACAACGATTTGAAAGGTCATCAGCCATGTAGTCCCCGGGTGACTTCTCCTTATCCCGTACGCACAAAATAAAATGAGAGGTCAACGTTTTTCGACATCTGAAGAAGCCGTTGATGCGCTCAGAATCCATGTCTTAGAGTTACCTACATCAGAGTGGCAAAAGTGCTTCGAAAATTGTTTCGAGCCCATGCAAAACTATATAGATCTTAATGAAGAGAATTTTGAGAAGCAGTAAACCGATTTTCAATAAATAGTATTTGTGTCTGTTTTCAAATCTCAAAATATAAAAGGCAACCTACGTAGGCATTTCATTTTCTATGCCATGGTAGTGGAATTATAAGCCCAGCACATGGGAAGCATTACCCTTTGTCTACCTTTTCTACATTTCCCATCCATTTGAGGTATTTTCCAACAGTATCCACCTGTTTTCTTATTTTCTATAACTTTTACCTTCTTTGAAATAACATCGAAGAAAAGTAGTAATCGGACCAATGTCGAACTTCATCAATAAACTCGAGGTCGAAAAAAACTCACCTCGCCACCCGGACCGACAAACGTGGTGTGGAAATTTAGTAAAATATCAGCAAAAAATATGACATCGACAATCGAGTCCATAAGGGCTACGGAATCGATGCCACCACCCGGATATTCCCTAAATAAATTTGATAAAACATTCAAAAATGCAAATTCGTCAGTCAGGATAGGGATCAGTCATGCTTTTAGTCACACTTATCCTTGGAATAACTTTATAAAAATTCTGCAGCGAATAAATATTTCACTCTGGAAAGAGGTACTACTGAGCACTAAGGATTTATCGAGAAAATCTTTCTCTAATTATTCCTTCGACAGAATTTTTCACTCGAACAGAAATCGTGCACACGATATCAACGAAGGAGTAAGCTCTCATGCAGATTGTTATATAGACAGATAATCAGTTGCCTAGCATAATACCGTTAGAAGTTTATACACTTGGGATCGAACTCTTAAGATTGATTGACGGAGCACAAACGTAAAAGCAGAACTTAGTTGAACCAAAATATAAAACACCGCAAACTTTACCTGAACGGTTGCATGAAAAATGGTTTAAGGCTAAAATATAAGCTAATAATCTTTGATTTTTCAAACTTTTTCAAAACAAAACAAATGAGTTTGAGTGCTTGACAGTGATAGCATCCCCATAATGCGTCATTTTCTGGTCGCATAGAAAATGTAACAAACGTGAAAGCACGCTCGAAGAAATTTAAGACTATGAAACCAAGTTTGTCGAATGGGCGGTTAGCTATAAGCAGAAGGTGCCTTCTCGCTCCAGATGGACTGTAAACTAGCTGTGAGTCATTTCAAAGTCATTGTAATGGAAGTAATCAATCTAGTGCTTGCAAAGCATAGTGCTTCTATTCCTGACCCGAAACGAAGAAATTACCTTTACCCATCATTCTTGAAATATTATTCACCTTCCGAATTGTGAAGAATACAACATGAAGAAAACAAAACAATGAATATTACATTACATTGATGTTGTTAGGCAATCTTGTCCGTACATGAATTCAGGCTAGATTCCCATTTCCAATCATAACAGCCCCTGGATTTAAGACTCCTACTGATAGTATCATCTCACGCCTTCTGTTCCACTTTCTGGAGAGCTTGGTAGAGCGTGAGCAGCAGTTCTGTCGAGAAGAAGACCATATGTCTACAGCCGACAGTCAGGCAAGCGACATGAGGAAATGCCACTGGCGAACAATCAAGGTTCACTCTGACACCTCGGTAATCATAATTGTGCTATCATAGGGGATTTCTGACTGCTTTCTCTGATTATTATTCGCTTCTGTCTGCATCTACCCATGTGCCTGACCGCTCTAAAACTTCTCTGTTCAACTGCTATGGGACGTCTCCACGCAGGAAGGCAACAATTTAGCAGAAGCCGATCAGGAGTGGGCATGGATGCTTCTGCTTCGTAGAGGTTTTTCGAAGATTTCAAGTCCATCGCTCATTGAAATTGGAAGGTTACTCTTCAAGCTGTTCTCTCCGAGAAACAAATGTTTCTTTGGGTCTCATTTTCGCTGATGAAATTGCGCTCGATGGCCCTTCGTGGAATCGGAATATCTGCGAGTATCAAACCACATACCTCCCTCTTCCCATTACGAAGCAACTTTCTTCTCTTTTTACTTCTACGGATACTACTCATACAATCTGTCCAAATGTTAGAGGAATGATCTATATAGAATGAATAATTACGTTAACCATTACCCTGTCTTCATAAATTATCGA